TATGAGATTATTCCGTTGTTAGTTTAATAAATAATTTCATTACGTAAATAATTTGTTTATTGTCAATATCAAAATCTTATAGTCACCCGTGACCGTGGGACATGTAACGGGCCTGTAACTTTGGTTTGTTTGATAAAATATTATACGTGATTTATTATTCCTATTTTATTATTAATCATTGATGGTAATTACAATAAATTAAAACATATTATTTAGTACTGCAGTCTTATATTTGCTTGAGATTTTTTCATCAGAAGAAATATTGGATCCCAAACTGGAGGTACGGAGAAACCATCTTCCCTCTTGAAATTAGGATGGTTTTTCATTTCAACAGCCTCTCGCACCCTGGGTACATAACGGACTTCGTTTGCAAGGACCTGGAGCTTGTCGATTTTAATTTAGTGTGTAGGTTTATCCATGACATGCACGCAGACTGCAGACTTTTTACGCGGCGGCGTTTGACATCAGCTTTATGTTCTTTGACGCGGGTACAAATACTTCGCTTCGTTTGTCCAATATATGAGAGATCGCACTTGCAGTCAAGCTTGTGAACTCCTGCATCCTGTAAGGAGATGTTACATTTCACGGGTATCAGGAACTGAGAAATCATCCTCAGGGGTATGAAATAGATCTTGATATACGCACGTCTGAGGACTCTTGCACTGTTTTGTCTGTAACACCTCTCACATAAGGTAATAGGGCAGGTCTTCCTTGGTCAGTTGGCGGTTTCACACTCAACTAGTTTGCACGTAGAACTTGCTTTAGGTATATGATGAAGATCCTCGGCCAGATGATTACTGTCGCAGACGTCATGTGCTCTCTGAAATAAAGATTTGCCCATGGTGGCTAGTATGGTGATGAAAATAAACATGAAATACCTATCCGTACCTATTCTCTTCCACTCTCTGCATCGTTGTAACATAGACAAAAAGTATGTGGATATCCTCCGGGAGCTATACAAAAACGCAACACTCCAGGTCCGAATGCACAGACTTACCGATTTCGTCCTAATCCAACGAGTACACCTCGTCAAGGCGATCCTATCTCACCCAAGCTGTACACGACTGTGCTCGAGGACATCATGAAAACACTCGACTGGGACGAGATAGGAGGAAAACATCGATGGCCGCAATTTAACACATCTGCGCTTCGCTGACGCCTTGATCCTCCTAGCTGAAAGTATCAAATAGTTGCAAAGCATGCTCCAAGATCTGTACCAAATATCGATGAGGGTGGGCCTAAGGATGAGCATGACCAAAACCAAGGTTATGACCAACTTTGCGGGTCCTAAGCATTATAGGTAACTGCCCTATAGAGGTATTGAATGAATGCATCTATCTTGGTAATTGTCTATCCTTCGGCCCCGCTTCTTAGCTTAAAGAAATCACGAGACGAACTCAATTAGGATGGGTTGCCTTCAATAGGTTGGAAGATGTGTTCAAGTCTAGAATCCCTCAATGCCTGAAGAACAATGTGTTCAACCATGTGTACTACCTATACTTACATATGCTTCCGAGACATGGCCGCTCACGAAAGAATACGTACACAAGATTCAAGTAGTGGACGCAGGTACGAGGATAGCTAAGCATAAGTGGAGGTGGGCGGGACACTTTGCTAGAAGGAACGATGGAAGAGGGACGACAGCTGTTACTGAATGGTAGCCAAGAGACGCAAAAAGACCAAGAGGCAGACCACCCGCCCGATGGATTGATGATATTAAGGCCATAGTTGGAAACCACTGGATACGACTCGCATGCGACCGGAAAGAATGGCGCAATAGAGAGGAGGCCTATACTCAGCAGTGGGTGCAAATAGGCTGAAATGATGACCTATCCGTATGAGGTTTCTTCCGAAATACAGCATGGTCAAAGGTGTTGCTAGGATTTCTTTTGACTAAAATATATAAAGCACACAGTCAAGAGCACGTCGAGCTTGACACTTTGTACCGTTCTTATCCTAAGCCGCATAGAGTTGAATTTAAATCTTAAGTGTGAAGCTTGTCGTGCTCTTGACCCTGTACCACAATTATTTTGTTCTTTAGCAAACTGTATCTTGTGGTACAGGTTCAAGTATATTGACTACCGAGCCGGCAGCCTCTGCAGCCTTCGGGATGCTTCGGTAAGCTTTTACATTTGATGTAATGATTGATCTAAAGAGAGACTACGCGTATTTTTAGTATTAAACTTTGTAGAATAGCGATCTCTGACGGAAGAAATGAGAAGCGCCGAAATATGCGGCTGAATGTCGGTAAGTCGGGCTAATGGCTAGTCTAGGTTTTAAGATTGATCAACTTAAGTGGTTGTTTTACCCGGATTGATTTTAGTTACGCGGCAATAAAGGCTTATAGACCGAAGACGAAGGTCGCAAGTCCCCAAAGCAGACTGGCTTTCGGTCTTTGACGTGTGGCGACGAGTGACTAAAATCGATGGTGACGGTCTCCACTTCGTCTTGTAAAGATTTATAAAGTGAAAGTGTAATTTTCAGCATCGTAATATAAACGACAAGTAGTCTGTCGTTTTATATCTATAGTAGTATTTCGTATATGTATATACGAAATTTAAAAAAAATTAAGAATATTAATTGACTAACTCTCATGGCAGCCTTATTAATTTAATTGAGTAAGTAGATCACGATTTGAGAGTATTTATAATAGGGCAACGACAAGAACCCTGTCACCATGAAAACAACAAATTGATTTATTGTCAGTATTTCTTATAAATTGGTTTATCTGTAACTTCGATGGAAAACATCTGACACTTAATTATAGTATTCGCCAATTTTCCATTTTATATTAAAACATTTAGGTACGAATAAACTAATAATTCATAGTACCTACATTACAAATTGTAAATACCAATTTGTACAACCGTGTGAAGCCGTGTTTTCACTGGCAAGACGCGGCGAGGTAAGAATCAAAATTTGTAAAATTTCCCGTTCATTTTGGAAATTTTAAATTTTGTCGTACAATTTTCTCTCCTAGCGTAGCTTTCGTGGAAATGGTCTGGATTGACGAGGATGTGCAAGATGATAATTGAAATATTTGTTGCTTGATTAGTGTGATATTTAACTGTATTGCTGAGTATATAACGGAAATACGATTCGCGACGATCACACATGGTGTCACGCATACTCGTATGAGCTCGCGAACGCTATTAAAGGAGAGGTCACACCGCGAACGAAGCTAATTTAGTTAACTTAGCTCCCATAGCTACATGCAACAAAGTATGCGAGCTAAGCTAGCTGAGCTTAGTTTAGCTCACATAACTGCATGCAAAGCTAAGCTAAGGAAATATGGGGCCGTAGCGAAGTGCTGCTACTTGACGCTAGTCTTTTGTTTAAAGCCGTAGCTCTAGTGATTCATGGTAGGCGTACTTCATTATAGTATTTACGAAAATGAGCAATATTGACGAAGAATGTTCAGACGATGACTGACACATCTGACACATTCGATAAATTCTTCCATAACGACTTGCATATGCACTATACAGATGCGCGCGAGCTACTATGACAATGACAACAACACTGTGGACATATTCGGGAGTGAAGGGTGCCTTCGCTTAGGCCACATAGTTCAGTTAGTTCGCTTAGCTTAGTAAGTAAGTAAGTATGAAAATAAGCCGTGGGTACGTGAGAGAAGCTAACTTAGTTTAGATTCTCTTGTCAATGGCCTCTCCTTAATATTATAATAATATAATAGAAGTACCTACGTACGATTTAAGATATAAAAAAGATGAATTTCTGCAAATAATTGCAATGAGCCCCACAGTCGAATTTCTAAAGTTTATTAAATAATGTACCGTGTTGGTATTTCAATATTCTTATTTTATGAAACGTGTCTGTTGCTGTAGCTCCTGTAGCTTCTAGAACTATTCGAAATCTCGGCGCGATATTGCGTACGCTTGCGATAACTCTTAATATCAATAGCAAGCTCGCGATTGGTTTCAATGGAATTTGAGTTTAAATTAGGCCGGTGAGATTTTAATTCTCGTCTCTTCTCACCGGTTGAGAAGCACCTTTATTTTTTTTTTATTTTTTTTTTTTTATTGTGACTCGGCAAAATGACTGCACCGCGCCTGATGGAAAGTGCGAATACAGTCCAGAGATGAGAGTAACGGATGGAAAACACAAATATCTTCACTCCGTCACTATCATTTTGCCGGTCTGGCCAAATGCTTCTTCACACTACGTTTGAAGTGCCTGTAGTTAAAATTGAGACGTTTCCAATAAAAAACATTTTTAATTTTTATGCTAATTTCAAATTATCAAACTAACCGTCGCTGTAAACTGGCTATGTGGTAAGTAATTGGCTAAAATTGGGTAAAAATTCTAAACTAGCGTCAGATACAGATTTTTTACTCGGTAAGTAAATACGGTCTCTACAAGTTCTTTTTAAATTTTAATATGCTTGGCTTCATAGGAAAAACAATAAAAAGGAAAATGTATATGATGTTAATATTAATCTACCAGTGCACAAAAAGATGGCTCGGGTCCTAGTTCAATTCTTGATTGTTTACGAAGATAAGTAGAATATGTTTAATAAATCCAAATAGGTACTCGTAAAATGTGGCACTTAAAATCCCAATTTATATTATTTATAATATTATCTATAATTGAATAAGAAAATGTTGAAACGTTGAACAAATTTCGTCGTCCGTCGTATTGCTTGTTCGTAGTGTGTAAACTCTTAATTTAACTTCGAGCACGTGTTACCTCACATGTTGAATAGGTATGTCAATATGTTCACGGTGAATTGTAATTTATTACAATTAAATAAAATGAAAAATGCTCATTTAATTAACTAATATTGTAAAAATATATTTTTGCCAATGACTGCCTTATGAACAATTTCCTAAATTTTTAACTATAACCTAGATATAACAAGAATCCAATTCAGTGTCGTGGCAAATATATGAATGAAAAAGTATATATTATCACGTCACGCAACGCAGTGTTAACGTTACCGTGACTTAGTCAAGAGGCAAATTGACAGAACCTTAGATGTTCAGTGAAAAATATAAGTTACGATTGCTGACATACAAAATGTTTCCAAATGCGAAAAAGTATATAGTGTTTTTTTTTAAACGGGACAGTATGGGGAAATCCGAAACCGTGGAAGATACAAGGAAACTATTTTAGGAACCGTTAAGTCTTTTTTGTGAAAACAGTTTTGGCCTACTCAATTTTTTGGTCAAGCGTGAGTTGTCAATGAATGAATGAATGAATGAATAAAAATGATAAAATTTTTTTACTGTTGATCGACTCGGTTTCATGAAGGAATCATTTCACTGCATGCGACAAAAAAGATCTGGACAGCTGAAGTTAGTCAAATTTCATAAAATGTTTTTTATTAAAAATGAATAAACTTAACTAACATTTTTTATGCTGATAGACTCAGCTTCTTATAATAATGATTTTATTGTATCGGAAGAAAAGAATCGGGACAGCACAAGTTGGTCAAACTTCTGCTGTCTGAAGTGAAACTGACTCGACCAGCACAAAAAAATTTTGGTCAATAATTTTATTCATTTTTATGGACATCTCACGCTTGATCAAAAAATTTATGCCAAAATTGTTTGCACAAAAAAGACAGTATCCTTGTATCTTCTATGGTTTCGGAATCCCCTATACTGTCCAATTTATAAAACACTCTGTATTAAAATAAATAAAATAGAAGCACAAAGAATAAATTACAGTATTTCCTCCAAAATATTAAAGTTGGTTACCTCAAATTTCGCCAGCCCTTTGCAGCCTAAGGGAGCAAAGAATTAAAATGAGTTCATAGGTTTTTGAATGTGAGCTCCGATAGTTCGACCGACTTTGCTCAAAAAAACGTGACGATGACCATTTCCCGGGAGGCCACAGCTGACGGTTTTTACGTAGTAACGGCCGACGCCAGGCCACACTATGGTACGTACATACCCTGGCGGCCTATCGTATGAACTGTTGAATCCGTAAATGTTCTGCTTAAAGGTTCGTATTGGAGGATCGCCAACGTCATAGGATGCCGGTCCCGGTTCCTCCTTTCTCCGCTTACATGACGCCAAGTTATTCACTGCTATTCTATTTGTTGGTGGATTATCCATATTGGTCTTATTCATCTCGCCGAAATGCCCTTTCTTATATTTCTCCAAGCAACCAGGTAGAGCTATTGGCCAAGTCGTCGCACTGCATCTGTTTGAAGCGAAATGGTTATGGATCGAGTACTCGTCTCGTTGACCCGAAAACAACTCATATGGTCCTCGCCGTGATACTAATTTTTTGGGTTTATTCTCTATAGAATCTTTATCTATTATACGGTAAATATTAGGAGGTAGAGACCATTTCTGTGTAGTATCCTTGAAACGGCATGGCTCTTCTCTCTCAAAGGTGGGTCTAGTGGAATGTGGTCCATAAGAAACTTTGTAAGGGACGGCTTTGTAATACGTGCCTGGTCCAGGATATGAGAGCTTTGGTGGTTTGAATCGAGGAGTGCGCCCGAAGCCTACGTTTTTACAAGCTGGTTCGTATTTAACTTCATCTGGTACGTTAGTCCACGCTGGTCCTCCAATCGCCGATTGCCAGCGGCGTTGTTTCAATATATATTGGTTTCTGTAACCTAAGTTTTTCGACCAACTCTCTAGTTCTGTTTTACATTGCCAAGGTTCTTTTTTTATGGTCTTTGAGTTGCAGGTCATCTCAATGGGTTTGGGATGGTATAGGCATGGATCGCATCCTAGTGGCCTGGTAGAGTACAGGCCCGAAGGATCAAGTTTAGGATGTACAGGCGGTCTTGTGTCTCTTGGAACTTTTGAACCAAAAGCTAATGAAACAGGTTTCGCTACAATTGCCTTATCTTTTAAGTCTGGATACGCGAACGACTCTTGGCTTGCTATTATTTTTAAAATATCCTTTGTTGAAACTTCATTTGCTATTAGTTTGGCCACAAGTGTTTTGGAATTTAAAGAGTACCCGGAACTACTCACTTGTTTAGAAAGTTCCTTTGAGAGAATTCTCGTCTTTGACTTTTCTTTATTAAGGCTGCTTGAAGTTTTTGTAACCATTGTGTATTATAAAGTAAAGGCGCTCCACCGCATTCACCTGTAATTTAACAATCCAAGATTCGATTTCGAGCCTTAGAATAACAACGCATAGAAACCTAGTCCGCACACGCTTAGTGAGGCAAACTGTAGGGATCCAAATAGGCTTACACGAGCGGGCGGGCCGTCAGTGTTTAAGGTCAACTTGCACCGCGAACAGCTCAAGAGTTTTAGCTAAAAATGACGAAATGTGTGGTAAATGAGTGTAAAAACACGTCAGATAAACATAAAATAGACACTAACATCACATTCCATAAGGAAGTAACGCGTTTTAACTTGTATTTTTATGTAAATATTCACAAACAGAAAATTAATTTCGTTGCATCAAGATACGAAAATGTTGCAAAGTAACGGATTTCTTCCCCATTTTGCTATTCTGGTTCAAAATAATTATATTACATATTTTTTTGAGAATCTAAGGCAATGTCGCGATGGTTGCAGAATTTTTACAAATGTACATCGAGAACATTGTAGGGAATATATATTAGCTATTTTTACGGAATATATTTAGTATTTGCCTCCATTACTTTTATGTGAAAATCATTATTCTTGTTCATCATACAGGACTCATCTTAAAAAATTGTCTTTCCCAGACTCAAAAGTTCTTAACTAAACTTATTTCAGAGAACTAACACTGACTAAAAAAGTCATGTCAGTTCTCCAAAGTCGTGTATAAATAACTTTCAGGTTCTTTATAGTTATCATCTATTTTTCATGTGTTTATCCAAAGATAATATCAGGCTATTTATATATCCAAATTTCCATGAACTAAAATAAAATTCGATAGTCCCACTTAAACTCGCTTTTAGGTTTTTGTTCATATCTATAGGAATTAAATAAAAATTGGATAGTATTTATTAACTTAATGATGAGTTAAGCAAGATACAATTTCCCCACTTTTGAGGGAAATGATATTCCATGGCATCATTATTTGTACATTCGTGTGCGTGCCGACGAGCGTAAATACAAGTTGCTTACGGCTACATGAATTTGATTTTTGCCTCACTTGTGACAGTTAGTTTGATATGAAACTATAATTGTATACGTTATTATTAAGTTTCGAGCATTATATTACAATACTGCTTCCCTAATCGACGAGCATTCGCCTGTAATGTAACACCAAAGATTCGATTTCGAGGTACTCAAAGGCACTCGCACGCACTCGCAGGCACTCACAGGCGCTCGCACGCATTCGCAGGTACTCACAGGCATCCGCAAACACTCGCATGCACTCGCAGGCACTTACAGACGCTCGCACGCATTCGCACGTACGCGCGTACGTGCGAATGCATCCACAAACACTCGCAGGCACTCAAAATTTTTTAATCGACTCGACTACTTTTTAATTGACTATGACTTACATGTTTAGTTATATGCTGTTAGTGTAAGTTGTAATAAATAAATAAATAAATAAATAAATAAAAGCACTCTCAGGCACATTGAACTGTTACATTACAAGCGAATGCTCCCGGTGAGGGAGCACCCTAAGGAAATTTTATTAAAGTAAAATTGTGATTAACTAGTTGCCTTAGAGTAATAAGTCTTTCAATAAGTACGGAGGTAGGTACGTACTTATCTTTGTTAATTTGCTTAATTTGAACTATTTTATATCGGTTAACGTGCCTTTTTTTGCAAAACTGAATCTTGCGAGTTGGATGTTTGTTATATTGCGTATCTATGATCTTGTAATACTTGTCAACTAGACAGTTTGTCAATAAATATTCTTTACGATCTCTTTAGTCAGGTTCCTTCAAACGCGTAGTATAAGATTTTAGATGTCGGTATTATTATAAGACTATTTTTAGACTAGATAGAGTCGTCAATGTTATAATTATGGAAATTGGAAATAAAGTTGCGTAGTGCTCGTTAAGATAGTAAAACGTATCTATATTGTGAATATGTCTCAGGGTGACAGGCGTAGTGGCAGTGTCCCTTAGATCTTTGCTATTTAAAGCTTTAAAGCTCGTGAGTGGACAGACGTGTAGCTTACCGTCAGGCGCACGACTTGTTCGTCCCGTCACTTGATATTATATAAAAAAAAAAGAATAACAAGACCTTGTGTATTCATCAACGAGATTTTCATAACTGTCAAGTGTTTCGAAGTCCCTAGTGCCTATTGCTATAATAACGTTATTATTACATACTCTACACACGTATACCTAGGTACTAATTGATGGGTGACCTATCGATCCTCAAAAAAAAGACATGAACGGCATTGGCCATGCTTATAGCCATGTTGCTATAAAATAAAAGACGAAATAAAAGTATCATTGTTGTTATTGTTGAAGATGTTTTTTAGTATCTAAATGTCTGTAGTTTGGTGTGCCTGTATTCATGACTTCTTTTGCAGAGTAAATTTAAAAAGGTCTTTACATGAGTACCGTTTAGATAGGTATTCACAGGTGTATAAATGGAAAGAAAGTATAGATTATTTTATATGCAGATGAAGTACTAATCTTTGGTAAAGACCACACAGGTATTAAGAAAGTGAAAGAAAGTTTAAGTGACCGGTTTTGTGTGAAGGATGTATTCGGAACATTCGCATTGGAGCATTCGCTTCCTAAATCCTTCATACTAAATACTTATATAGGTTTCAACATCTCATCATACATTGTAATCACAAACAGAAAGAAAATAAAAACGTGTTTAAGGCAACATAAACGCCTTACATCGGGAGTTTAGCTGAGATGTAGGTGAGAAGGGCGCAGCTTTGAACATTTCTTAAATATCTGGTTAGAAAATATTAAATCATTATTATTTATTTGTTTTGTTTACTACCTATTATTTGGATAAAATCATTCGAAATAAGCACAACCAAAAAGTTTATAATACTGTCAGAATTCCCATTATTGTGAAGAAACTCAAATGTTCAAAGCTGCCGCATATCTGGGGCAGCTTTGAACCCACCTGGGCCACTTTTGAATTCATAAATTTAAATAAAATTTACTTTTTTATTGCAAAATAATTTTACTAAATCCGTTATCAAAAATATTTTACAATATACATATATGACTATTACAAAAAAAGTTTGGGCAGAACCGAAACTCAATTAAAGTTTAAATTATTAACTGCAATATAAAAAAAACTTAACTACTTCTTAAATAATTAATTATAAAATCACAGTAATAGTACAAAACAGAACAAAAACAAAATACAATCCGACCGGATCGAAGAAATTTTTTCTGAGTGTTTTTTCTGAGTGTTCGATCTTTGTATTAATAATAATAACAAACTAGTGGAGTAATTTCACAAAAAATAATTGAATATCAATTCAATAAAAATTTAATTAATACAGTGAATAGCGACATCTTTCGCCAGGACTGGTAGCTGTAAAAGTACTAACTTGGTGATAAATCTGTAATAGATTTCTCATAGATGGCGCTACGACTAAAAAGTCGTTGAAAGACCAAGTACAAAGACACGACGCAAGCACATAGAAAAATTCGTGAGGTCCGTTGGTTCGTTCCGTGGCTTAGTTGTTATAGCGTCTGCCACGGTATGCAAGAAGACGTCGGTTCGAGTCCGACCAGATCGAAGGAATTTTTTTTTAATGTTTTTTCTGAGTGTTCGATATTTGTATTAATAATTATAACAAACTAGTGGAGTATTTTCACAAAAAATAATTGAATATCAATTCAATAAAAATTTAATTAGAACATAAATAACTAAAAAAAACAAAGCCTCTCATAAAAATATTTGCAATATTTAAATAAAAAATGTAAGTGCAGAAATAATAATAATAATAACGCACACACTCAACATAGCCCCGCACTAGAGAAACCCTGTGTGGCGGATGCCATGGACACACACATAAACAACCACAAATGACATCCAACACGAGAGTAATAAATGTAGGCCATACAAATATTACTTCCGACCCGGGAATCGAACCTGGGACCTCTGCGTAGCAGTCCGGCTTGGTAACCGTTCGGCCACGGAGGCAGTTAAATTTAATTGGAGCGCTTTTAAGTACATGTGGGAAATGGAACGCGTACCCTATTCAGTGAGCGAACTATCTGAGCAGATTTCAAAGCAGATATGATCAAAGTCATTATATAATTTTTATGAAATATTTCTATCACACAAAACACCTAAAATTAATTTATGGAACCGAGTCTAAATGATGTGATGAACGTTTATGTAGATGCAGATTGGGCAGCTGAAATACGGTATAAAAAACCGGAATGGTAATCAAAGTTTTTGGTAATATTGTAATATGGAGATCACAAAAACAGAAGATAGTGTCTCTAGAGCTTCAACCGTGCTTCAACGCATGCCGAGTATTATGCTCTTGCAAATTTTGTTGAAGAGTTCCTACCTATAATACATCTAAACCAATACTCCTCGTATTAAGTGGTTTAAATGCGAAAATGTAGGTACGGCAGTGTAAAAATTTATGATGATAACATGGGTGCAATAGGTTTGGCGCAAAGAGATAACTTAAGTATATTGACTTAAGTAACCATTTTGTGTATGATGACGAGAATCCTGATTTGATCAGTGTACAAAATATTTCTTCACAAGACCAGGCTGCCGACATATTTACACAAGTGTTGTGTAAAGTTAAGTTTAAAACTTTATAGAATTTTTAGGTGTTAAAGATAATAATAATAACGCACGCACTAAACATAGCACCGCGCTAGGGAAACCCCATGTCGCGGGCGCCATGGACACACATAGACAACCACAAATCACACCCAAAGTTACGAGAGAAATAAATGTAGGCCATACAAATATTTGTCCCGGCCCGGGAATCGAACCTGGGACCTCTGCGTGACATGTTAACCGTTCGGCCATAGAGGCAGTAAAGAATGTTGAAAGTGTCGTTATTTAGTGATTAAAGTAAGTTTAAAAATTTAAAAACGAAAAAACATTTTAGAAAAGTAGTTGTGCTAGCTTACAGATGGTTTACAGAATAGTTAACGCGTGGTCAGGTAGTTAAGAATGTTAAACATGTAAATTGAGTAAAAATATCTTCTACTTAGGTTTGGTAGGTAGGTACCTATGTAGGAACTCGTGTATGATAACAAATCAAGGAGGTGATGAATATACTTTAATCTTAACCGAATTTGAAATCAATCTCATATCGTATAAAAGTAAAACCAATATTAGTTTTATGTTCCGTATT